AGAGGAAGTGGAATGAGGGATATCATTGCTGATGCCAGATGGATCTTGGCTGAAAACGTTGTTGTTGTTGTTAAGTGCTAGCAAGTCATCTCCGACTCATAGCGACCCTATACACAGCAGAACAAAACACCCGCCCAGTCCTGAGCCAGCTCCACAATTCTTGCAACACTTGAGCCCATTGCTGCTACCACTGTGTCACTCCACCTTGTTGAGGGCCTTCCCCTCTTTCATCAACCCTCTACCTTACCAAGCATGACATCCTTCTCTAGGGAATGGTTCCTTCTGACAACATGACCAAAGTATGTGAGATGAAGTCTGGCCATTCTCGCCTCCAAGGAGCATTCCTGCTGCGTTTTCCCCAGGACAGACCTGTTAGTGACCAGTCAGTTCCATCTTCTTTTGATTCTTCCTGCATCACTCAATATTTGCCCACAGAATCTTCCAGTATTGCAACTCCAGGCTTAAATTTTTTCCTCAGTTCTTTCAACTTAAGAAATGCCAAGTGTGTTCCTCCCTTTTGGTTTTCTAATTCCAGGTCTTTGCACATTTCGTTATAGTTATTGACTGTGTCTACTCGAGCTGCTCTTTGAAATCTTCTGTTCAGCTCTTTTATCTTGTCCTTTCTTCCATTTGCTTTAGCTACTCTCCACTCAAGGGCAAGTTTCAGAGTCTCTTCTGACATCCATTTCGGTCTTTTCTTCCTTTCTCATATTTTTAATGACCTCTTGCTTTCTTCATGGATGATGTTCTTGATGTCATCCCATAATTCTTCTGGTTTTCTTGGTCATTGGTGTTCAATGCATCAAATCTATACTTTAGATGGTCTCTAAATTCAGGAGGGATATATTCCAGGTCATATTTTGGGTCTCGTGGACTTGTTTTAATTGTCTTCAACTTCAAGTTGAACTTGCATATGAGCAGCTGATGGTCTGTTCCACAATCAGCTCCTGGCCTGAAGATACTGAGCTTTTCCATTGCCTCTTGCCACAGATGTAGTCAATCTGATTCCTGTGTACTCCATCTGGCGAAGTCCATGTGTATAGCCACTGTTTGTGTTGTTGAGAAAAGGTATTTGCGATGAATAAGTCGTTGGTCTTGCAAAATTCTATCATGCGATCTCCAGTGTTATTTCTGTCACCAAGGCCAAATTTTCCAACTGCTAGTGATTCTTCTTTGTTCCCAAACTTCTGCATTCCAATCACCAGTGATTATTAACACATCTTGATTGCATGTTCGGTCAATTTCAGACTGCAGAAGTTGATAAAAATCTTCAATTTCCTCATCTTTTGCTTTGGTGGTTGGTGCATAAATTTGAATAATAGTCGTATTAACTGGTGTTCCTTGTAGGCGTATGGATATTATCCTATCACTGACAGCACTGTGTTTCAGGACAGATCTTGAAACATCTTTTGTGATGATGAATGCCATGCCATTCCTCTTCAATTTGTCATTCCTGGGATAGTAGATCATATGGTTGTCTGATTCAAAATGGCCAAAACCAGTCCATTTCAGCTCACTAATGCTTAGGATATCAATCTTTATGCGTTCCATTTCATTTTTGACAACTTCCAATTTTCCTGGCTTCATACTTCGTACATTCCATGTTCCGATTATTAATGGATGTTTGCAGCTGTTTCTCCTCAATTTGAGTCATGCCATGTCAGCACATGGAAGTCCTGAAAGACTTACTTTATCCATATCATTAAAGTTGGTTCTACTCTGAGGCAGCTCTTTCCCAGTCCTATATTTAGTGCCTTCCAACCCAAGGGGCTCATCTTCCTGCACTGTGTTGGACAATGTTTCCAAGCTATTCATAAAGTTGCCCAGTAAGTATCAGACAGTGTTTCTCTGCTATTCATAAGGTTTTCCCTGGCCAATTTTTGAGAAGTGGATGGTCTCCTTCTTCTTCCTAGTCTGTCTTATTCTGTAAGCTGCACTGAAACCTGTGCACTATGTACAACTCTGCTGGCATCTGAAACACCAGTGGCACAGCCTCAAGCCTCACAGCAACATACAGGTCTCACAGGATGACAAACTGACAGACAAGTTTGTCTCCCTAGCTGTTGGAAACCTCTGCACCTTCCTCTTACCAAATTCTTACCTGAAACCTGCCACTGTGTGGTCCTCATTGGCTCCTGGTCCTTCCCTTTCCTGGCTCTAGGGGGCTTGGGGCCTAGCCTTGCCTCCTGTCCCTTTTAACCTGGATATCCTGCTGCTCCTGAGGTCCCCAAGGAGCTCCTGGTCCCTCCCTTTCCTGGCTCTAGGGAAGTGGATGGCCTTCTCCTTCTTCCTAGTCTGTCTCAGGCTGTAAGCTGTGTTGAAACCTGTGCACCATGTGCAACCTTGCTGGCGTTTGAAACACTGGTGGCACAGCCTCAAGCCTCACAACAATGCACAAGCCACCACAGTACGATAGACTGACAGACAAGTTCATCTCCCTTAGCTGTTTGAAACCTCTCCGCCCTCCCCTTACCTGGATCTTGCTGTTTTGTCCCCTCCTCCTTTTCCCTCCTTTCCTGCCTCTTGGGTGGGGCCTGTCTCTCTCCCCTTACCTGGATCCTGCGACTTGGGTCATCCCAGGCATTCCTACCCTTTTCTGCCTCTGGGGTGGGGCCTGTCTTCTCTTGGAAGCAACAGGCATGAAATCAAAGGACACATTGCACTGGGATAATCTGCTGTGAAAACCTTTAAAGTGTTAGAAAGCAAAGGTGTCACTTTGAAGACTAAGATGCACCTGACTCAAACCATTATCTTTTCAATAGCCTCATATGCATGCGAAAGCTGGACAATGAATAAGGAAAACTGCAAAAGAATCAATGCATTTGTGTTAGTGATGAATACTGGATTTGCTGAAAGAAGAAACCTGTTTTGGAAGAAGTACAGCCAGAATGCTCCTTAGAAGCAAGGGTGGTGAAACTTCGTCTCTCTGCTTTGGTCATGGTATCTATAATCCGGAGGGACCGATCCTTGGAGAAGAGCATCATCCTGGCTAAAGGATAGGGTCAGCAAAGAAGTGGAAGTTCCGCATCAGCTGGATTGACACAGCGGCAGCAGGAATGGGCTCCAGCATAGCAATGATTGTGAGGATCGCACGGGATTGGACAGTAGTTTGTTCTGTTGTACATAGGGTTACTGTGAGTTGAAACCAACTCGACAGCACCTAACAACAGCAAGTACCTCCCTCAAAATGCTCATTAATCACAAAATGAGAAAGAATAACTTTACTGTGGGGAAGTCTGGTTGATTCTACCTCAATCAAGTTACTATTCCTAGCAGTGGAGTAAGTAAAACCTATGTGCCACCTACAGATAGAAGAAGAACACAGTATCACAGTCCTGACAGAGATGCATCATCTGAAAGTAATCATTTGGAAACATTAGACAAACTGAGCTCCAGGACCATTTTACCAATAACTGGCCTGTAAGCCTCAAAATGGTCGAGGTTATGAAAGTCAAAGAAAGACTGAGGAACTGTTTCAGATCACTGGAGACTTAAGATACATGACGATTGAAAGCAACATATGAATCTGGACAGGATCCTTTGGCTATAAATGCAATTATTGGGCTGAATGCTGAATTTAAATGCAGCGTGAGGATTTATATGGTAGCAGTTTATCAATGATAACTGTCTGATTTTGATGACTGCATTGTATTTAGGAACTGCATTTGTCTGTTGGAAATGGTATACAGTATTGTAGTTTTCAGAGGTGAGGGGCTATCTGGTTGCCAACATACTAAAATGATTCAGGGCAAAAAAAAAAAAAAAATACTGGTACTTACTTGCAGGGTTTCTTTAAGTCTGAGAATGGATCATTATAAAAGGTGACGGCTGCTCAGGTAAAGGGATCTTTTTTTTTGAAGGAGATTGGGTGTATGCCTAGGGAGACCAGGGTACTAGGGATGGCTTCCTAAGGTTGAAACTGCACAGTCTTGAAAGAAGGCACTTTGGAGAGCCTAACTGAGCCAATCCGAGTTCTTGGCTTTCAACTGTACTGTCGTTTGGCAAGAGAGACCCCTGGCTTGGGTCCATGCATTAGAGGTCCTGCTCTGGTAAGTCCCCACAGGGAGCGGGGGTGGAATCCGCAAGGACATTGGCATAGACTCATCAGATCTGGCTGCCCTTACACACAGTCGAAACTTCTCTGCCCAAATGCCCTGAGCCTCTTTGCGTCTCCACCTGGCCCTGCCGCCCAGGGTAGAGTGGGCCACAGGGGGCGCTCCTAGCTTATGGGGGAGCTTGGGTTTAAGGGCTGGGTGTGTCTGCACTTGTGGATAGGAGCCCTTAGCGAGTAGGTGGCTCTCCGTCAACTGCCAGATTTAGTCGGAGTTGAAGCAGTTCCAGTGAGTCGGAATCAAGACGATGGAAGTACGTTTTTTTTTTTTTTTTTCCCCCTCAGGTTTTGTTGTTGTTGTTGTTATGTGCCGTCGAGTCGGCCCCGACTCATAGCGACCCCTCCTTGGGTTTCCGAGGCAGTATCACTACGGAAGTAGGATTGCCCAACCTTCCTTCCGAGGAGTGGCCGGTGGGTTTGAACCGCCAGCCTTCTGGTTAGCAGTCAAGTGCTTTAGCCACTATGCTACCAGAGGAAGATATATTTGTCAAGGAAGGAGAGAGAGAGATCACATTCTGTCCAACCGTGCTCAGCAGCTGGAAACCAAACACGAAGCGCAGACCGAGGATGCAGGACTTTCAGACCGCCCAGCCCTAATTCCACGAAACTAGGTAAACACAAGGATACTGTGCGACAGAGACCACGCCTCGCCGCGTGGAGGGGCGGGGCGAAGAGTGGGCGGGGAGCCGAGCCTCAGCACTCATGGGAGGAGCGTGCAGGGGGCGGTGTCTGTTGGGAACGGAAACGCGCTTCTTCACGCGCGGGGGCGGTGCCTCACGGGGCCACGCCTCTTCCGGTCCCCCGCATTGCCTCGTCTCGCGCTAGAGAACTGAGGTAGCCGGTAGATTAGGCTGTTTGGACGTCGGTTTGTGGAGGCTGTAGGGGCGAGATGGCGGCGGCGGTGTTGCCCGGTGCGAGGTGGCTCTACTGTGGGAAGCCCGACGAGAGCCAGAAAGCCGTACTGGGTAAAGCCTGCGGGGCTGGAGGTCTCAGCCCTCTTCGTCTCTTGGTACCTCTCCGTCTCTCGCTCCCCGCTCGGCTTCTCTCTCGGCGGGGCCAGCACCCCTCTTGACTCTGCGCCTTGGGGCTCGTCCAGGGCTTCCCTGTCATCCCGCCACCCTCTGTGACCACCTCCCAGTCACTCCGTCCCCTGGGGTGTACCCAGGACCGTGCCGACCCCTCACCCACCGTGTCTGCCCCATTCCCGGGAGTCCTTTTGTCTTTCTAGGTGGACCAGGCAGCCTCTGTCACCTGTGTTCCCCCAGTCATTCCTTCTTGCCACAGCCCCTCCCCATCCCACCTAAACCGGGGCATGGGCTCCTTCAGCCCTTTAGTCAGGATTCGGGCTCCCTCGCCACCCCCGTACCTCCAGTCACCCCTTCCCGTGACCCCCATCCTCTCCACACACGCCGTGGGTCTTCCTGTTCTTATGCCATTCATTCATTCATTTAATGTTATTTATTTTTTTTTTTTCTCATGTCATTCTTGGCTGCAACTTTACAGTCCGCTTCTCCAACGGGAAGCTTCGGAATCCAGGCAGCGTGCACTTCACCCTGTACAAGAGTAAAGACACCACGAACCCCAGGAAGAAGGGCCAGCGGATCTTGGTAAGGGCTGCTTTGCCAGTTGTTTCCACTCTGCAGACCTCAGAAGGCCCTTTGGGTGTGCGTGGCTGTGGAGGGAGTGAGAGGAGAAAAACGAAGGGCTGCAAAGGCGTACGGAGAGCTCCCAGGACCCCTCTGTTCCCCTCTTCCTTCAGCTGGTGTGGGGACAGGCTCGCCACACCCAGGTTTGGTAATTTTGAAGAAGGGGTGGCCATTCATTCCTTCATTTGACAAGCATTTATTGAGGACCTGTTGTGGCCCTGTGCTGTAAGCTGCGGAAGTACCACAAAATGTGACCTGGCCCTGCTATGAGGGGCTCAAACTCTACAGCAGCCTTTCTCAGGCTCTGCACTACTGACACTTTGGGCCAGATACCCCTTAGCTGTCATGTGCGTTACAGGATACCTGGCCTCAACCCCCTGGATACCAGTAGCACCCCCCACCCCATCCCTGGTTGTGACAACCAGACATGTCCAACGTTACCAGATGTTCTGGGGAGATTGGGGCAGAATTATCCTGGGTTGAGAGCCTCTGTTCTGGAGGGAGAAGTAAGGACTTGATGTGAGGGACACTCTTATAACTAGATAACACTTAGGGCCTAAGGAAGGAGGAGTACAGGGCAGAGTGAGCTCAGAAAGGAGAGAGCTCTCTACTTGCCAGAATGCCATCTCGGAGGATGGCACATCCTGAAGGGTGGAGGGAGGGAAGGCTGATACTCTAAGTGAAGAGGGTAGTGAGGACACATGCTTGACTGTGACTGAGGAGTGAATTAGCCATTTCCTTGGTGCTGAGAGTATGGGAGTCATCCTGGGAAAAGTGAGCAAAAAGAATCAAGGAGAGCTTGGACTTTAGGCCAAGGAGATTGCCTGCAGATTCACTATTTCTCATGCCTTTGTATATGTGTTGGGTACCCTCGGCCTTTCCCCCAAGTCCTGTGGTACAACTCCCCCAAGAACTTTTAATGCTCGTTAGAATCTAGCAGTTTCAAAAGTCCTTCTGCCCTCCCCCCAGGGCTTCCCCAGATGCACTGAGAGAGATAGGGGCTGGAGCATCTCCCAGTGGCTCTGAAGTGCGAATCCGTGTGGTCTGCATTCTAAAGCTTTGGCAGATGTAGAAAGAGAAGACAAGATGCTTAGTGCCTTTCAGCATTAGTCTTGTTGTTAGGTGCTGTCAAGTCGTCTCCAACTCAGCGGCCCTTTATGCAGCAGAATGAAACACTGCCCGGTCCTTTGCCAGCCCCATGATCCCCGCTATACCTGAGCCCATCCTTGCAGTCACTGTGTCAATCCATCTCGTTGAGAACCTTCCCCTTTTTTGTTGACCCTCCACTTTACCAAGTGTGGTGGTTATGTTTGTGTGTCAACTTGGCTGGGCCTGGTTGAGTGGCTGGGCAGCTGGTGGTAGTTATTCCCCATGATGAGACTGGCAGTCAACTCCGTGGTGAGATCTACCACAAGCAGCTGAGTAGCTGCTTTGGTATGTGGTCTGCTTCCCCTATGTAAGAAGCAGCTTTGGGAATGGTCTCTAGCTTATGGCACACTTGAACCCTGCATATAGCTTTGTTGTTCAGCAGCCTGCCATGCTCTGCCAACCTTGGGACTTACAATGGACTTAATTAATGGCCTGCCCTGTGGTTTGGTAACATCAGGACTGTGCCTTTTTACTTGTCAACTTTAGGTGTGACAGCCTCGGCAGCCAGCAGCTGTCTGAGTGAAGAAATACCTCTAGCTCCAGTGAGCAGGAGGCAGAGCTGGACCCCAAAGTTGAGGGGCTTTCACCCAGCCCCTAGAGTCTCCAAATTGTAAGAATAAATTCCTGTTTGTTAAGGGCATCCAATTTGTGGTATATATTCTTGTCAGAGCGGCACTAGGTAACCAAGCGTGATCTCTTTCTCCAGGGAGTGGTCCCTTCTGACAACATGACCAAAGCAGGTGAGACGAAGTCTGGCCATTTTCTCTTTGAAGGAGCATTTAGCTGCACTTCTTCCAGGACAGATTTGTTAGTTCTTTTAGCAGTCCATGATACTTTCAGTATTCTTCACCAGCACCACAACTCAAAAGCATTGACTCTTCTTTATTGGTCTTCCTTATTCATTGTCCAGCTCTCACATGCATATGAAAACCAAAACCAAACTCACTGCCGTTGAGTCACATGTGACTCATAGAAACCCTTCCTTGGATTTCTGAGAAGGTATCACTATGGAAGTAGATTGCCCCATCTTCCTTCTGAGGAGTGGCTGGTGGGTTTGAACTGCTAGCCTCTGGGTAGCAGCCAAATGCCTTAGGCATGGAGGTGATTGAAAATACCATGGCTTGTGTCAGGCACACCTTAGTCTTCAAGGAGACTTCTTTGCTCTTCATCATTTGAAAGTATCTTTTGCAGCACATTTGCCCAATGCAGTATGTCATCTGATGTCTTGGCTGCTGCTTCCATTGGTGTTGATTGTAGAACCATTAATATGAAATCTTTGACAACTTCAGTCTTTCCTCCATTTATCGTGATGCTGCTTATTTGTCCAGTTGCGAGGATTTTTTGTTTTCTTTACATTGAGGTATAATCCATACTGCAGACTGTGGTCTTCAGTCTTCATCAGTAAGTGCTTCAGGTCATCCTCACTCTCAGAAAGCAAAGTTGTGTCGTCAGCATATTGCAGGTTATTAAGGAGTCTTCCTCCAATCCTGATGCCATGTTCTTTTTCATATAGTCCAGCTTTTCGGATTGGTCTTAAATGGAGCTTTTTTCTCTTCTGCATTTCAGGCAGCTGAAACAGACAGACTGTCCTATGTAGGGAACAATTTTGGGACTGGAGCCCTCAAGTGCAACACTTTGTGCAGGTAGTGGTGGGGGATGGGACTGCGGGAAGAGGGATGGTGAGGGTAGAGATGGTACCACTGACACTGTTGTTCTCAGACTTTATCTGAGTAGGGGCAGTGGGAGAAATCTATGGAGGTTTACCCAGTCCCTGATCCCAGACTGAGGGGTCTTCATACCACCCTGTAGATATTCCTAAAAAGGAGATGGCTTATATTGTTGAAGACTTTTAATCTCCATTAATTTGTAATATTTTTTTCTTGTTCCAAGAGGTAGCTGTCTCTATTCATTTAAAGTATGTGATGAGTAGACCAGAACCTGCCTGAAATTTGCCTTGGAACTAACTATAAGAGGATTTGGTGGTTGGGAAGGCTCTGGGCTGGGAAACAGGAGCCCAGAGTTTCCATCACTCTGCACTGGTTGACTAAGTGCCTTTGGGAGCTTTGCTTCCCATTGAACTCCATTCTCACTTTCTGTACAGTGAAGATTGTCTGGCATAAACAGTCTAAAACTCTGGGGCTAGCATAATGCAGATGTGATGGTACCCGACAGTGAGCCAAAATCAAGGCTCTGTCAGAGCCCCTACCAGACCATATCCTGCTAGAAGTCTGATTAGTGCAGATGTGCTTAAAAGTATTGACACACTGCCTCCCCTCACAAAAATTCTCTTATTCAGACTAATCTCCCCACGATCAGCCAGGTTTTATGTATATTTGCCTCCATAAAATTTGCATGCGCAGCACACTGTAGTGTAATTCTAGATTCTGCATCTACACAGAGACTCTTTCCCATCACAACAGTGAATCCAAATGTGGTTGGCTCTTAGAACTCTTTTTTTTAACCCCTAAACAGTATCATAGCCTTCCCCACTTGCAACCCCCTCCACGTCCCCGTGCTGGGAATTGCTGCTCTAAGAGAACATTGTGAAACCAAACCCAGTGCCATTGAGTCAGTTCTGACTCATAGTGACCTTATAGGAACTGCCCCATAGGGTTTCCAAGGCTGTCAGTCTTTATGCAAGCAAAATGCCGTGTTTTTCTCCTGTGGAGCAGCTGGTGGGTTCAAACTGCTGACCTTTTTGGTTAGCAGCTGAGCACTTGACCACTGTGCTGCCAGGGATCCTAGGAAGAATGTTGAGAACTTCTAAGAAGGAAAGGAAAAAGGAAGTTTATGAACCGCACGCGTGTGTGTGTGTGTGTGTGTATACATATACATATATATATATATATATATATATGTATACAC